CCCTAACGTTCTGGGATTCTGTGAACTGTACCAGATATTGGTGCAGGATCACATTTTGGAGAAAAGGAGTATAAAAGTAGTCAACGGCTTGCAAAGCTAAATAATGTCTGTTCTTCCTAATCAGGGAGTGTTGCCGTAATTACTGAATAAAAGTCAGCACCAATGATTAAGGTGTCTTACAAAAACCCTGGAAGTTCTGTGCCCTAACAGAATTTCCAAACTAAACCAGAAAAGATAGCTAAAGACTGAGAGAAGTAATTCATGTAAGAGAAGATACGCTGAATTACTAAGGTTAGCGAGTTTCCTCATGCGCTGCCTATTAAATAAAAATCTCCACAACACAGGACAGATGATAAAGTAAAGGAGTCAGCATATTGAGAAATGCAAAGCAGATTGTGGAAGTAAACAAGGGAGAGAGAAAAACAAAGATGTGACAGGAGGAGTGTGACACTGCAGAAACACAGATGACTCTGTATGCTCCTGAAGGCAAAGGAATAGAAAGACTGAGTAAATACGATTGTATTTGGACCTGCAAAGGCTCCACAGGTTAGTCGAACTACTTCAAATTAAGAGAAGTCAGGAATTTACTTGACTGACCACTTTAAACAGTTGAAAGAGCGTTAAGTGGGTGCAGGTACTAAAAATGAAAGTCACTAAACAATTCTAAAACTTTGAAATGCATTTAGTACTTTTCAACAGTGGGAGTTTCAGGTAAGATTATTTTAGAAAACATTGAAAAGTTTTTGATAAATGTAGTGACAATCTGAATTAACAGTTTTAAATAAAACACAGCACTGAGTAAAGATTTTTTTTTCCAGTTAAACCTCAAAAACACTTTGATTGACAAACTTCTGAGAAAGCTGCATGTTCTACTGAAATACAGTGACTCTCCTTGAATCAATGACAGTCTCAAATTACTTCTTCTTCCTTCTTTCCTTTCTTCCATTATGTACTAACCATGAATTTCACTCTACTTATGAAGCAGAACAGAACTGTCCTGACTTGGGATTTGGACCTTTCTGTGCACATGGCCCCTAGTAAGCGCATTCAATTCTCGAGTCTCTGGGAGATGGGGAGGGTGTCAGGGGGTATGGATGTTAAACATCTGACACCACACCACACGGAAATTGGATTCCGAGTTCTTCTGTGCTTTGAAAAATCTCTTTACTTCTTAAAATTAGGTCCAGCTAGCTCAACTGCTTTGGAAGAAGGGCCTCTTGTACATAATTCAAAAATTAAACAGAACACAGAAAAATACAGAATTATTTACAAAAGACACTTCTTGGAACAGCAGACTTAAAGACTGCTTCAAAGTATCCCTTCAATCTCTACTGAAAAGCGAGAAGGCAAGCAGGAGCTTCAGCAAAATTACAGCTTTACAAAATTGTCGGTACAATCTCAACATCACGGAACGTTCAAAATGCCTGAACTGTGAAACCACTGTAATGGAACAAGTGCAAGAAGTGCCATCCTCCTCCGCTTTTCATTTCAGAACTTACAACAGACATCCAAAAGAATACAGAACAACAGAAATATGTCCTAACAAAACCTAAACTTTTTGAAAAACTTGGTCTTTTCATAAGGAAAAAGTCCAACCAATAACAGAGGTAAGATATTTCTATGCAAGGGTGAGGCTATATAGGACTAAGTCTCTCAAAAATACAGCACAGAGACTTGCAAGTGGATCATGTGGCAGTTAAACCTATGTCCAAGAACACAAAGTATCACACTTGTTACATAGAGGTTGAGGGTTCCTCAGATATGCAGCTGGGTAGAACTACATTACCTTACTGCTGTTTCTTTCATGCTCTGTTTTTTCATTATACCAAGGTTCATCCCATTTTTCTTCAGCTTGCCATGCATACTTTAAAATAGTACTCAGAATGGCTTCAAAGAGGAGGATAATTAGATAAATAATCAAAAAGGAATTCATGGACCTACAAAGAGGCAAAATAAAAAATGCAACTTCAGTTTATTTTACTTAATTTGTTGATAGACTGTGGTTGCATGAATTGATCAAAAACTTATTACACAATTTTTTAAAAATGTATGCTGTGTTTTGACATAGTTTCTATGTGACAAGCAAGCAACAGAAGTGAAAAGAAATCCTACATCTGACTAAGACATACTCTACATAGAGTAATATGAAGACTAGATTAAGGTGTACGAATATCTCAACAGCTCACTTGTGTCACACTTGTCCAAGATTTTGGGAGCTGACTTATTCTTCCCTTTCCCAAGTATCCAGCAAGGCTGTGAAGGCAGTACAAACCTCCACAGTGGACATACGAGGCTGCACCTTTGCTTCAGTTAGAAAAGCACTACTGTGTGCATCTGATTATTTAACCCAGGGCATGCCATACCAGGATATAGTTGAACTTGCCTCTATATTCTATAATGCTAGCCAGACCATCTTTCCACCCCTTGCTTTGATGACTGAACTTTTCTTTTGTACTCTATACAGTTCTGTTTGTATCTGGCTACAGAAAAATAACCAATCCCAAGCTTACAAAAGAATGCTGGGAGGCTATCTCAGATTCCTAGTAACTGGAATAAAGGCAACATATCAGAGCTTTTTTTCTTTTTAAAATCATTCACAAACTTCAACATATAAATCTCTACTACAGTAACACTAATCCCGTAACTACAAGCAAAGATTTTTAAAACTGAGCCTGCTACTTATGCTAGAAGCAAGATTCATTGCAAAACGTATCTGGATAGACATTTAGACTACATGTAACAAAGCTATTTTCCATTACATCAAATATTGTAATTCACAACAAAAATTTGTAAGCAATTAAGCCTTCATTTCAATCCATCTCCTTTAAAAGGCATGATGATACAGTTTTACAGTAAATGATGGAGAGAACAGCAGAGACTGGGACTGGTGTGAAAACTATTCCTGAGCATTTGGTTCAAGCCGCATTTCACATATCATGGAATGATCTCCACATCTCAGAAAAACAAACCTCCCAAACTAACTTCTTCTGCTTTAGTCCTTTTTAAGCTTGAGTATTTCAGCTTTGTACACTACTGAAAGAATCAATAAAGGACGAAATATCACAAAACTGACTTTATTTTTATAGCTTCCTACTGAAGGCAAAGCAATTACATTCTCTTCCCTTGTCTAAAACAGTGATGAGACCATCAGGGTCTTAAAGTTACCAAGGAAAAACTAAGTTAAAACTCTACAAATAAGAAAGGTATTAGAAAATAAACATACTTTTCTACTGCTGACCGTTTCTGAGATTTACTCTTGTAATTTAATGCCATCTTTGTCTCCATACCTGTATACACTGCAACACCTGGGAAGGA